AGGCTCTGCGCAGTGGTAGCTGTTACTAGTGCCAAGTTCACATCCTTTTGATATACACTCCTATCTGATTTTTTTTCTTGAAAGAAGACTTTGTGCCTTCCACAGTGCTTTCCGAAAGATTTTTTTGTATTATAATTTTTTAGAAGGCGCTAGATCTTGGGCTTCTAATTGGAGGTCAATTGAATGGCCTCTTCCACAATTCTGGAGAAAGAGTATGCCGAGTTTTGTACTAGATCATTGGCTATAATCTCGAAGTCTGGCATGAATATTAAGTAGTTACCCTTCCTGGAACTCTGCACCCTATTTGTACATCTAGTCTGAGTCTCAGTTTTTATTTGGGGTGGGCTCAGGACATGTCTAGAGCCACCTAGCAGCTTTTATTGTGTTCTTGAACAATGCCGAGTGTTCTAATATTCCAGAGATTAGGAGAAGAGATTTCTTGGGTACTAGGTAATCCTCTGGGATCTTACTCAGACCCGTATTCAGGGGTCTCCAGGCTCATCTCAGAAACTGAAGAAGCATTTTGCAAATAGTTTGGTTGCGTGCTCCATGAGGGCAAGATTTTGTCCATCTTGTTTGCCATTCTGCTGAACCTTTATGGCACATACTCCACACTTAATAATCGGCCAAATGAGTAAATGAATGAATTCATCAGGGGGTTTCAGTCGTAAGCATTTACTTCCACGCAACTATCTTTGACCTCATGTTTTCCTTTTGGGATACTATAGTCCTCTCTCTCCCTCGCCAAGAAACCAGAATCCTTCATGGGTTTTTTGGGGTTGATTTCGATTTTTTTTCAGACTATGTTTTCTGAAGTTTCTTTTTAAACAGTTATATTGAGATATAGTTTACCTACTATAAAGTTCACCCATTCGCAGCGTATCATTCAATGGCTTTTGCTATACTGACAGAGTTGTGCAACCATCACGACAGTGTAATTGGTGCAGGAGACATAGAACGCCCAGTGGAGCTTGCTGCCGGAAAGACCCAGGTTCAAATCCTTGTTTCTGCCACTGACAAGCGGTGTGATCTTGGGCCAAATTTCTTAAATTCTTGGCGCCTTTGTTTTTCCTAGCTGTGAGATGATTCGTCACTCATACAGTTGTGAGAAATAAATGAGGCGTTGGATATCAAGTACATAGCTCAGAGTGTGGCATGGAGTTGACATTTGGCAAACCTTCTTTCCCCCGCTCGGTGACCCCTGTACCCTTCAACTTTCTGGACCACACAGGATGGTGAGCAGGGACAGAGATGGCTCTGATCTGTGATATTCCTGAGCTACCTTCTGCTGCTGCTGAAGCACAGAGAAAGGATCCTAAGAGAGTGGTGCCTCTCACTCAACAACCGGCCCATCAACCTCTGGGTTCCACCAGCTCTGGCCAAGGCATCAGCCAAGTTACCCCACTTTCCGCCCATCAGCTGTCCTCGCTTATTCATCTTTCACAGTCTCCGACCAGGGGGTTTGTTCTCTCTTTCAGAAACCCCCCCGCACACACCCCCACTTGGACTTCACTAAGTCACAGACTTCTGTTTCCAGTGGTTCCTTCTTCCAATGTCACCATTTCTGGAGGGTTGTCAACTCTGTACATTTTTCTTTGCAATCATAGAAAAATAAGGTTGGAAGAAACCCTAGAGATAATCCAGTTAAACCCTCCTTTTAACAGTCAAAGAAACTGAGGCCTAGAGGAGCAAAGTAACTTGGTTACATAGTTAGTTGGTAGCAGTTCAAGACTGGTACACTGTCAGCATTTAATAGATATCAGTGCAGTGAAGGACTGCCTTTGGGTCTGTTCTGTTGCCTCACTTGACCCAGGAACCAGAGTGAAAGCTGAGGGCTTGAGTTCAGATTTGGACCCCACTCTCTATTCCTCTTTCTCTAATAAAACAAGCATAAACCTGTCACCGTTAGCATTCACTTTTAAGGAATGAGATCAGGAGCCTTGTAGAGTGTACCGTGCTAAGTGGTTAGGATATTTCTGGAGTCAACACTGTTTGGAGAAAGTGAAAATTACAACTTCCATCCTGATGAGTCTCTGCACATTTGGTCTGAATCTTGTAATTCATTTTGGTTTCCCGTTGCTGAGTGGAGAGAGCTGACATTTTCCAGGCTTCAGAGGGATCTAGACCCAGGAGATTTATTCCCTGCAAGTTACCCTATGGTTAATGGATGGGATGGTTAGTAGAGGGTTCTGTACCAAGCCCCTGAGCATAGAGGGTGGAGGGGCTGAAGGGGAGGAAAGTGGGAGACATCAGTAAAAGGAAGAGAAAAAAAATGGAGATGTCAGTAAGCCCCAGAATTCCTTTGAATTGATTTCTAGGTCCACATCTAAAATACGCAGGTCATAATTTCTGGTGCTAGCCATTTAAAAGTAGCTATGCCTTCTTTTAGAAAGTACTGTACAATGTAAGAGGATTTTCTTTCTCTCTCCCCCCTCCTCCCTCCCTCCTCCACCCCTCGCTCCCCCTTTGTGAACGGGATGTTATATCCTTAGTGTGCAGGGGGCTGGGTAGGTTCCAAACTCAGACCCCAGGCCAGCAAAAGAGTCAACACTGGGTGTTTTCTAGCCAAAGAACTGTTAAGGGTCGTAATTTAAAATGAATAAAGCCTTTCAGCGGGCCCCTTCTTTC